AAACGCAATGCTTGAGGTTTCACAGCTCAGTAGAGAACTTCCAAATAAATGAATTAAGGGGAAGGAAATAGTGCTTTAAAAATTACCAAAGGCTTTTGTTCCTATCATTTTTAGAATGATAACATGGTTTTCACTTTAATACAAAAAATGAGCAATGTTTTGCAACCATATTTTGTAAGAAAATTATGATGTTCTGCGGTAAGGTTTTCTGATCTTCGTTTTACTCATTTTTTGTACTGCTGGCAAATTAAGGAGGTCATTATATTATAATGAGGATTATAATATAACATAAAAAGAGAGGATTTCATTTTTGGACATGATTATAATTAAAATGAATGAGTCAATGAACTGTATCTGAATCACTGCTTTCATATTCAAGAATGGTGTTTGGTTCAGTTGGTATTTTGTGTCTATGTTAAAAGTATTCCACTTTCCGACAAATTAGAAGACGTAAACCGTGTCCATGCAGTTGCATGCGGTCCAAAACTGTGTCCATATACAGGCAAAATGACAGTAATTATGTATATAAATTTGAGTGTCTGAATATAGAACTTGTTCTTGCTTGTTGTTTTTTAACTTATCCCTGACTAGCTAATCCTGCTCTGTGTGCTGGGCAGATGGATGTACGGCTTTTTTTATGTATGTTTCCCCGAGATTTGACATATTATAAATTGTGCATAAAAGAACATGCTCAAAGATTTAAAGAACTGCATTCGAACTCTCTCATTTGTGAGTACTTTCTTTTTTTGAGCTAACTACTGCTAACCAGTACTTTATTATATATCCACAGATTTTAAGAGTTAAAATAAAAATAGAGGGATTTTGGAGAATGAATCTTTTCAACAATATGCATAAAAAACTGAAATGTCTTTTCCTAAGGTGTTTGGCATTCTTGAGTCTCTCAGCTGAGACTACAGTGATAGAGGTCCATTGATTAACTGAGTAGTGTCTGCACCCAGATCCGCAGAAGCATTTAGAAATACTTCTCTGGATTTCTCTCCAGGCTCTGTTCCTTATAAAGGGCAACAGTAGCAAGTTGGTGAGTTATAGAGCAGATGTATGGGAGCAGAAGGCAATGCTGAGCAAAACTACTTCATTCTGGCAGTCTGCCTAATTTTTACGTCTCTCTCCTTGTCTCAAGTGCAATATCCAAGCTCTTTAAGACACGCAGAGCTACCTATTCCTGAAGGTAGCTTTTAAGAAAACTGAAGGTGTAATGACAAGCTGTTCTTATTAATGTTTATTTCTCAAACTGCAGGCCAGCACTTTTCTGGAGGTCCTGAAAGGGTTCAAAGTGGGTTGGTCAGATATCATGTGGCAGCAGTACTCTCTCTCAGGTTGGCAGCAGCTGTCACATTAACAACAAGTGAGGACAGGCTGTGATTAGTGGCTGCAAGATTTTACTCTATCCAGGGAACTGATAACTACCTTACATTGCTGAGAGCAGTTCATTTTCTCCAAGCTGAAGGAGTGAGCACGAACGCTTGTAGCCAATTATAAGCATTTCTCCCTTGGCTGATCTGGCGGAGTTGAGCTGCTGGCAATTCTAACTAAAGAGAAGTGAGATGAACCAAATGGAGGTGACATTTTCAGAGTTGCATAACCCTGTTCTAGGTATTTCTAGGCTCTTGCTGAGTTCACACGCTTGACTCTGCATTTGTGCAGACACCAAGGTGTCAAATTAATCCAGCACCTCTCCCCGCTTCATTTACTCCCACCTTTCCTTGGTTATATAAGCAACTGGAGTGTATCTGTTGGTTACAAAAGCAGAAACCAAACATAATCAATAGCAACGGAGAGATGAAGCCTGAATCATTTGTTAAAGCTTAACACTTTTATTTACTGAGGATACACAAAATTTGTCAGAGATGGAAATAGATAATACAGGTCTTAGTCAATAGTTTTTTTTTAATTCTAAAGAGTATTCCAATTCTATAAGCACAGTTTAGGTCAAGACTCTACATGGCTCATCTGTGGGTAACAATGAGTTCTTTAAGCATTTAATGGTGCTTGTAAATAATTACAGGCACCAAAGAAAGGCAAGTGTTTGAAAATTTCCATTTCTACAGAAAAGTGTCAGGTGACCTTCTTTTCATATCCAGAATAAGTATAGCGTAGGCACTGGCAGTGCAAATTTCCTGTCTTATGTTTTTTCTAGAGTGATTAGGGCTAGATGTGAAAGTATAGCAGTTTTCTCATCTCATTAGTCTTTAGGCATTTGCTAACGCTGTCAATAATGGAGCCAGTTAATGGTAGTTGCACAGGTGAATTTTATGTATACCGCCATATGAATGTCTATTTCACATGGAAAGAACTGATAACACTGACTCATTTGATATGTCTACAAGTAATCATTGGATCATAGCCACAACTATCATTGTATATGGTAACTTTTTATCAACAGCAACAAATCCATATACTTCCCTTGAGCTGGCTGGCAATCTGGAGGTGACAATTTTCATTCCGATACCAGCCACAGTAAAGGTACTGTGTTATTAAATAGACAGTCAGTACTTTGTTTTAACTGACCAAAAGAATGAAATATATGTGTTAAAACTCAAGAGTTAAGGTCCACCATTATGCCTGATTTCATTACGCCTGATATTTGTATTGCAAAGGATGCTCTTCTACAACAAAATCTCAGAACAGTCTGGTTCACCAGCTGTGGGAATTGTTAATGCTTAGCATTGCACAGGATTATGAAAAACCACAGTTCCAAACTCAGCATCCTAAATTTTAGGTCATGTAGGTCTATGCTAAGTCTCAGAGGAAACTATGTAAAGAAAACCTCACATGTGTATACAGATATGTGTAAAGTTTTGGAAAGCATTTTAAGGAATTTTTATCTTGGTAGACTGTAAAATAATATTTCTTTATCCTAAGGGAGATTTCAGAAAATCAGGTGTTTGGTTTACAGCCTGGTTCCGTAATAGAAACATTATTACAAATGGTTGGTGTGCCAAAAAGAAACAGAAACTGATAAATGTGATCACAAGTTTGAAATTCTGTATAATTTTGCTGATTAATGCTGCTGAGTGATTGGTTATTCTGAAACAACTTCTTCAATCAGCTTTTTTATATTATTTCATTTTGAACTGTGTATATATTGGTAGAACAATGGCATAATCAAAGATACGATCATACCAATTTCCTCAGAAGTGTCTTGATTTTTGTATATTTGTCAGGGGTCACAGAAACATGTTGCAGTGGCTTCTATAAAAGAACAAATTATTTATCAGGCTGCGTTTTCTTCACTGTGCAGGAGGGAACACAGGCTTTCATTTCACAGCACTGTCAGCAGAGTAAAAGAAAAAAAACCCTTCTGTTTACTAAACCAGAAGTATTGAAGAGGAGTATCTTAAGTCTACCTCTTGTACTTTTTTGGGTAGCACGTATTTTTTGATAGGCCTATTTTTTCCACAGCAAATACTTAATTATATTCTCCCCTTATTATTTTATAACTTCAGTGTAACCTGCTGAGAACTGGAGCTCTTTCTGTACAGCGTCTCTTCAGGAATACTGTAGATACACCTAGATAATGTAATTCTAGGAAAACTATGCCTGATTTTGGCCATGATGATTCCAGATGACCATGAGCAAAAGGCAAAAATTGCTAAACAGAAATTTAACTCTACCTGTGAGTATGACCTGATATCATTTTATGACTAGCTCATCACTTAAGTCTTTAAAAGATAATGATTTAGTTTGCTTCAGGCTGGAACTGGAAGTCATGTTGGCAAGCGAGTATAGAGAAACTACTGTTCTCTTTGAGAAAGTCTTCCTTCTGATCCAGCTCTCTGGCATGGTAGCCAATTTTGGTATTGCTTTTCTTCCTTATTCCCCCTACCTACAGGGATAGATTCATCTATGAATTCCTACTGTCTTTGTCATTAGTCCCTGGGCTGGACTCGTGCTCACCACAGTTTGAGAAGCTGTTCAGCACATCAGTTGAATCATCATTTTTCCAAGTTTCCCCAAATCGTTTCCTTTGTCTTCTTTGAAGATTCACTCTCTGTTAGGCCATTTAAAATTGGAGGATGCCAGGAAGCTGGAATAGGTTTTACAGTAATCTTATTCCTCTTTGTGTCATCCTCCCTCTCGAGGCAAAAAGCGTATATCTTTTGATACTCATCTCTTTTCAATTTCTGGCCAAGTGTCCAAGATGGAGGTATCTATGACATTGGGACCTTTCACAATCATGTACCTGCAAAACAATTTCTCCATAGGAGGAATAGGCTTTATAAGATTTAGTGGCTTTCAAAAAACTGCATTTCACACATTAGGTCAGTTTGAATGTCTCTGAGCTCTAAGTACAATTCAATAAGTCCTTCACTACCATTTCCACTGCATTTGCTAATTCCATTACTTTGAACTAGTCATTATATTTTAATTCTTTAAATGTTACCACAAGACAGCCGTATGTCTTGTATCATACTCCCTAAGACATTTTCAAGTGTTTATCAGTCAATTGTCTCTGGTTTTGCCAGAGTTACTGTTTCACCTTGCCTCTCCATTCCACTATAAAGCTGGAAATGTTCTTCAATAACTTTGGTGGCTTTGGTTTTTAATGGTCTATTAATGTGCTTGGTGGTCTTCTATATTTTAAACTCCTGTTTTCTGTAACAAAATTCTTCAGAGGGAGTAGATATGATTGACACAGACATGAGAGAATAGGAAACAGGAGGAGAGGTGGAAGGAATAAAATTAGTGTTAGTCCAAATCTGTGATCTCATACATAATAAATTATGTATCTTTTCAATCGCTGCCAATTCCAGTTGCAGAAAGTTAATTTTCACACAGACTATAAAATGCTTTCTCTGTTTCTAAATTTGTAAAGGATCTGTCAGACTTGTACTCATTCCAGAAACTTGCAGCTTTAGTTCAACTGCATCACAAGTAGAATGCAGGAAAAACTTCCACTGAAGCAAGGTGAGGAAACTGGACTATGCAGTTCCTATCTGATCAGATTTCTTGCAGCTGAGATGATTGACCTTTGAAGACCATTTGCGACTTTTTTATTTCACTGCTATGCGGATAAATGAAAAAGTGTATATCATTCACCTCAATGACAAATTAGAAAGTGCCTAAATTCCGTGCCTAATTGCCAGATCTGCCAATGAGAAGTAGATAAAACATTGTCAAATGAGAATAAATAGGCAAACTTTATTCAGCTTTGTTAAACTTTCACTACATTAATAGCTGTATTCTTTAGACCTTTGTATAAGTTTGGGTTTTCCATTGCTAAGAAAACCTGCTATGAACCTAACCAGTAAAATTATACAAGTATACTTGTATTTGTAAAATTGCAAGGCTGCATGTAGACCTCAGTCCGCATTTGTCAGAAACAAATAGAGGAAAGTTCTACAAATGGGAATTTTTCAAACTCCTAGGATCATGTCAAGGGGCCCGGTCTTTTGGGACGAGCAGCTGTATGAGAAGAGTCGTCTTTTCCAGAATCACAAAATCCGGTCAGTCACAGGAAAGGAAACTATAGCGTGAGTAGATGGTAGTCGGTCTTCCAGTTATCTGAAGGAGATCCACTCCACCAGCAGCACATTGATCTACCTGCATTTCTATGATTCTACATCAAATTCTATCATTCAGTGTCACAGTAAGATTTTAGGAAAAGGATAGATAAACATCCATCAGTGCTGATCCTGCCTTAACAGTCAGAGAATTGGAGCAGTATATCTTAATTATATTTACCTTATTTAGACTAAATTAGCATCACTTTAAGGCTCCTTACAGAACATAGCTCTTTGGTGAGAATGGTCCATATGATTTTCTGAGTGCCTTGCAGATGAAGCATGTCCTATAGATTAAGAAACCAAGAATTACATGATCACTAGCCATTCTTTCATTTATCTCTTCTCTTTACAGGATCTGCATTCATACCTCTTGAGCAGCACCTGAATGTGACCTCAAGTTCCTAAGGCAGGTGGCATGCAGACATGGGACCATAATGTAGACAAATTAATAGCATCCACATTATACTTTGGTGTGGTGTTTGTGTCTTTTTATTGCAGAACCTGCTAGTTTGCATACTGCTCCCAACTTGCCTGCTTCATGCACACCCTAGGACCATGAAGCACATCATTAGAAAAAAAAGGCCCTGCCCTCCCCTGCCCTCTATGGTCACTCTTCATTTGCTGCTGCATTCGCCAGCCAGAAAATTAAAGCCTACAATCAGAAATTTCTACTTTATGGCCGCCTCTGCCTCCTGTGAAAGAACTTAGCAAATCAAGAATGGTGTATAATTGATTCTTCTCCCCCCTAATATATTTCATCAGGGACAAATTATACCTTTTTCCTGCCTTGAACATACACAGAGCCATCCTTTCTCCAATCTGACTGAAGACTGATCTTCCAGATCTTGAGGTCCAGCATGCTTGAACAGAATACCTCTAAAAACGCTAAAGGAAAATTTCCAGTTCACAAACATGGTGTGTCTTTGACACTACATTGGCTTATCCTTTTCTGGAAGCCTTCCAGCTTGGAAGTTCTTGCAGTTCCTCTGTGTACTCTTTATTGCTTCTACCTGTTTTGGACCCTGAACTCCACAGGAGGCTGGCTCTGCTATATTGCAGCCATTAGTCATGAAAAGAGGCTGAGGCACCCCAGAAATACTCTGATAAACAAGAGAGGACTACATACCCTTAACAGTTCAAACATGTTTATTCAAACAGGTAAAGGGAAAACTGGGTTAAAGACCAAAAACAAACTTAGAAAAGCAAAACAAGATAAGAAAATAACAGTATACAGATAGGATGAACAGTGCATAACAAAACACATCATAAACTAACAAAATAACACACAAACTATGGCTAAAGGGGCTCCCAGGCATAAACATGGGTGGGTATGCAAGGGGAGCTGAAGAGGACCTTCATCTCCAGAAAATGCTGCCAACTATGCCTTCACTGCCAGTGACTTGAGCTGATGGTCAGGGTCAAATTCTGCTAGGATGCCTCGAGAGGTGCCAGCTCGGCACTTTGCTTTTTTGTGGAGGCAACCTGAGGTGCTGTGTCTGCATGTCTAGAGGCTCAGCAACAGTGTCAGGTAGGGTTGAGCCTAGAACCAAAGGGCTGCCAAAGAAGCTGCTTGTCTGTCTCTTTTCTCTCCTCTTTATTGCTCTTACGGAGGTCCTAAGTTGTCACAAAAGCAGAGATTAGCAGTGCCTAGTCTCCATTTTTTCATTGCTGACATGTTGGACATTTCAGGCAGAAAGCTCTCCCTGCTTGTCTGGAGCTTCTGACTGGGTTCATGCACCATTAGCTCTTACTGTGTTAGAACAGCTCGCACTGGGGATGTAAAGGCAGCTTTGCAGTAGCCTGAAAAAAAATCTTCCAATCAATAGTATCTGTCTCCACGGAGGTGGAGGTGAGAACAATGACCATGTTAGATACCCTGAGGTCTAAAGAAATGCAATAACTAGAGCCTAATTAGCCACCTACAGCCTAATGTTAAACTTTGTAGCTTTGCAAACAGATGCCTAGGCAAGACTTAGTTTTTTGCAAGTTTATTGGGCCCTGGACCTCTTACACCAGGCACCAGTGAGGTTACATTAACTATCTCCTAAATTAATGCCAAGGAACTTTGTCAGGGACCAGAACATGATTCTCTATACAGTTAAGTTGTTAGAGTAGTGATGGAATGGTTTGGGGTTTTCCCCTCCTTCCTCTCAAAGAATTCTCAGGCAAAGTTTGGTATTTGACATAGGTAAGGGACCATTTTTCATAGGCAATTTTGGATGTGACCATCCTGTTTTGCAGTGTAAACCAGTGTGAATATGGGATATTTCATGCCATTCCATGCCTTGTTTTTAGAGCCAAAGGATGCTCCCAAGACATTTAATCTAATGGTCTGGACAAACCCTAAATGTGTGACAGTCTATAAAAAATTATCGATAGAGTCTCATCAGCTCTAATGACCTGTACAGTTCTGGGGCCAACTGGTTAAAGTATATAGGTAAGTAGAGTAAGAAACTGAGGATGTGGCCTATCATTGTTATGTGAGATGCGCTTCACTATTGGTGTTCCTCTACTGTGCCCCTCTGCAGGCTGATCTGAGTTATCAGTAGATTAAGACATTCATGTTGCTGCAGATATCCCTGTAGAGAATGGAAGATATAGAAGACAGATAAAAAAAAAAAAAAATGCCACGCTAGTTGTGTTTATTGCATAGTTACCTTGAACCATACAACTCTGCAGCTGGATCCAGCAACATATGGCCATAATGTGCTTTTGGGATGCTAGAATCCTTGAAGATTGCCCACAGTCCAGAACTGCCTATAATTTCCTGTTGCATGTGAAGTTTTCTGCTTTTTAAATCAAAGTGACTCACATCTGGCTAACATCAAACAGCCTATTTCAGAAGTCTGAGGAAGCCAGGGAGATTGATGGAATAGGTCTCTTCATCATGCCTGAAGAATATTGTGTTATTTTCCTGAAATTGTGAACCTTCCTATAGCATTCCTCTTCTCAGTCTGCTGCTGTGGAGGATGGGCAGAAACCTTCATTTTTCTTTACCAGGGTGCCCACTATTTGTCAATACTGTCAATTGACTGAGGAATCCATTAAAGTATGGCTAAAACTTGGCTAGACATCTTTTAAGTGCAGATTGCTGATGGGAGATATCTCTTCCTGAGACTATGGCTTAGATATGGGCAGAGGGAAAGAAAGCTTTTGGAGAGACTTCAGGGATGGAGCGAAAGATGAACACTGCTACTTAATGCCATAAGAGCACAGGAAACAGCACTATTGCTGGAGCTATTGGTTATGGAGTTGCATGGTGCTTTTGCTTTCAGGGCACATAGTGAACTATTTGAAACTGCCACCATTGCACCTGCCCTGATGTGGTATGTCAGAATCATACATGAGTTGATTTCTGATGTCTGGGATGCTCTAACAGCATCAGGAGATAAGCATGCGTATTTGAATTAGGCAGATGAAGATGATGCTGTAACATGCTTTGATGCTAGGCGGTTGTCTTCCTGGCCGTTGTGTTATGCCAGTTGCTTTGCATTTCAGGGACAACACATCACCCTAAAGTATGATCAGCACAAATTTCCCTCTCTTATCTGGGAGGACATAAAAGTAGTATAGAGGAGAACAAAGTGGTAGAAGAGTGACCGGTCTATTTAGGACTGTTATGTCCTCCTGAAAAGATGGCTTTCACTATGTCAGAGGACGTTCTCTATGAGCTCTCATTGCAACATATGGTTTAAAGCTTGGTTCCTTCCCAGAAGGTAATGTGTGAACAACTTCAGATAGGTCCTTCAACACTTGCAGAACAGTTGTATGGGCTGTGCCACAGTTTCCTCTGGTGTGACCTTTGATGGACCCTGGTCCAGCATCCTAACCACCCTCTTTGGACTCTGTAAGACTTAGTACTTGGTTTGTGGAGATAGGGCAGAGGCAAAGGAGCTTAGAGTGCTATCCCCACAAAAGGGACCAGAAACCACCTGCGTACAGGGTGCAGCCCCCTTGTCATACAGGGCTCTTACAGACCTTCATAACATAAGCAGTCTGATGAGCTCTCCTGACAGTTGGTTCTAACTCAAATGTAGATGTGCACTATCTTTGGCTTCTTAAACTTGAAACAGTAGGGCTCTATGGTGTTGATGCTGGCCCGGACCAGCTCTGTTGCTATGCTGGTGAGACATTTTCCAGCTGCAAAATGGGCTTCTTGTTCACAAGCTCCTAGATTCCTTTTGCACCTCATGCTGTTTCATTCTGAGCACCTGGCCTGGAGACAGAGCAACTAGCCAAAAAATGAGGAGATATCAGATGTAAGAGGATGCCAAGGGTGTCGTCATATCTCAGTGCCAAGGAATGGTGTATATACACTATGGGGCATGCTAGGCTATAGCAGCTTCTAAGATGCCTTTGCAGAAATGCCCAGTTGTCACGTTCTGTCAGATTAGGTGAGCCCATGCTACTAGCAAGGACGGAAAGAGAGTAGGTGCAGAAGTCAACTAGAGTAAAGCCTCTATCTGTGCATCAAAATGCGTGCTTTGGAGACAATCAGTGGCATGGGACTTAAGAGCAAAATACAGTAACGTAACATGTCTGCACAGACACACCTGTGTGTGAAGACTCTGGGAGCTGCAGCGAACAATCTTCAGCATAAATCGCGAATGCAGCTCAAATGTACATGTGAATTCATAAAAAAAAGGCCTTAGCTATTGTGAAACCTCTCCTGATTAGTTTTCATGTTTGCTAAAACATAATACAATATGTTTCTTAACATTACTGTATTCCATATTTTGTGAAAGATGTATTTCATGTTGTACTACTGTATATCTATCAAAGGCAAAAAATAAACAGTAACTAAAGAGATTCAGTTAGATTAATTGTTCAGTACTGTTCACAACAATTGTAAAAAGTGGATGCTACGCAATAGCGTGTTTATTTGAACAAAAATAGACCAGGATACTAGAATATCCATGTTTTTGGCCCTGAATCTCCATACCAGATGTGAATTTGAGTTAACAGAATCTGTGCAAAACAGTCTCCAAGGACATATTGAAGAGTTATATAAAGATGCCTATGATTAAATTCCATTTTCATGCAGTACATATTCTAGATGGTATGATTTATGATTTATGACCTCCGCACTTGGACACGATGAAACCTTAAAGAATTCCAAAGGGAGAACCCTTGGAATTCTTGAGAGATGAAGACAGCAAAAAAGCCAAGTTAGAAAGTATTAATGTGCTGCCTTGGGAAGGTGGAAAAGATCTAGCTTATGGGAAGAACTTAACCAATCTTGTGGAGTTTATAGAATCTGGATCCACAGAAATCCGTGTTTTAATTAAATGATAAAATACAGCATGAATGCTAAAGTGACAAGTGTTAAAATGTTGTTTTCTTATGAGTGTAGTGCACAGGACAAGTCTATACTGAAAGACGAGAAACTGAGACCGAGTTAGCTTTTGCCAGCTTAAGGTATTTATCTGTCAGTGCACAAAGTTGCGTTAACAGTTTAGCAATGTTTACAGTCTTTCTCAGTATTTTGGTAGTGTGATTTACAGGTCAAGAGATGTGTTTTCCCTACTTTTGTTGACATTTGAGGCAATGTGCATCACTCTGAGGTGTGCTGCAAGGAGTCCAAAGTTCAGTAGTTACTCTTTGCTTTCAGCGTCATCTGATCTGAGATCCTAACTTCCAAGGTGATTACCCTTGTTTCCTCTTAGAAAGAAGACAGGAGCTTCAATGTTTGGCACAAAGAGAATAAATAGCTAGGTGTATCACAAAAATAGTTCATGGAATGATTGTTTGGCATATCCCATGAACATTTGTGGTGAGATTGTAAAGGATAAAGCAAACAACCAAAAAAAAAACAAACCTGCCAGAACTGTGAATAAGCAAGCATTTCACAATTGGGAGTTGTCATTAGTACAGAGGGGACAATGTGCAGTGGTGCCACGCATGGCACTGGGGAAAGGCTTTTGCAATCCCTTCTGTGCTCAGGCTATCCCAGCTGCCACGTACCCTGCTCTGTCTTTCACTTGCTACACAGGACAGAACGATTTCAGTCACTCACACACTGCCTCATACACTGCCATTTAATGCTTCATAAATTCCTCAAACCCTCTTCTTCTTTTCTTTCTTCTTTTTTTTTTTTTTTTAAGATTAGCCTCATGTTCCCGTTAAGCTGTCTCCTTTGGAGGAATATTTGAAAAGTAAAACCAATGTGTGAGAAAGGCAAATGACAGCACTCATCCATTGAAGTAGCTAACAAACCAAACAGGTTTTGATAACTGATTTCTGCATAGCAAGGAATTGTTACTTTACATAATGGAACTACTTCTGCATTTCTTTAATGCAAACTTCTTTTTACAGACTCCTTTCAAAATTCTGTCAGAACAAGCATGCAAAACTTACAATTTGTTGAGGTAGTGAATAATTAGAGTTACAAAAAGATGTATGAAGCAAACATTTTTTAAAAAGTCCTCTGAAAACAATAATACACCTTTTACAAAATATTACCCAGAGAAGTTTAGTCTTCTTACAGAGAGTCATACTGTCAAATTTCAGACGAGATTGACTTCAGATAAGACTAATTTAAAGCTTCTGAACAGAATTTCACTAGAATATTAATTGTGAATGGGCAATGAGACTGGAAAACAAGAACGTGCAAAATCTGCTCTTCCAGAAGCTTGAGTGGAAGGAATACTGTACCCCCACATGCCAGAATCCTGTCACCTTCCTGTATATGGAGGTGGAAAAATGCTTTCACTCCATTTGTTCATATTTATCTAAAAATTAATGTCAGAGTACCTGTACAATCATTCACAGGACACAGCCATGACAAGCAATACCGTACAATTTCAAGTGCCACACTACTCCTAAAGTAGGAGTAGTAACAAGTAAAGAAGGAAAACAAGAAAAAGTAAAGAAAAAATGCCACAAAAGTGTGTGAAAGTAGAAAACCAAAAGCTGAAAAAGATTGGCATCACGCTCACAGATATTCCATGAAATGAAAAAGAAACCTTTTCTAGTGAATGATTAACAGGTCAACTTCAAAGTCAAGCTCAAAATAGACTGTTCGTTTGTTTTTGTTGTTATAACTGAGATGTTTTGCTTTTAATCTCTAAAGAAGGGTTATACCAGGTAATCTTGACAGGATTAGATGGGATAATTATTCATTTTATGGGTCTTGTTGATTTAATGTTTAGATTTGTTTTAGTTTTAACTTTGATAAGTATCCATGATCAATGGGATGACATATAGTCCATTGCTTGGTTTATATCACAACTATGCATACACAAATGTTGAAGGAACATTATTGTTAAGTTACAATATTAGTCAATCAACACACTGAAAATGTTTGTTATATAAATGCATGTTTATAGATTTGTGGATTATGTACCATTTATTTCATAGGTCCCCTGCGTCATTTAGCATGCTGCACGGACATGAAATGGTGATGAACCAAGCTGATGCAGTTGAAGAGTTTACAGAGTGCATTCAATAGGACTTCTTCTGCATTGGTGACAGAAGCTGAAAACTGAGTAGTGAGTGCAACAAAGGCTTCCAGGAAGAGAAGAATAGGCCATTGGTTAAGGCAATTGTGCCTTGGTGAAGGAAATTGTGCCAATCAAAGGATGTCCTAGAAGCCAGATTATAACTTTGCCCCTGAGTTTGTAACTGACACTACACAAGTTACTTACAATTAATTTATCATCAGTAGCCCCTAAACAAATTTTCGAATGACTGATGAGAATTTGATTTATAGATCTGCTGAATTCTTAAATCTGGCAATAAAGTGAATCAGAGCTATAAGTGGGTAAATGAACTGCAGCATAATGTTAACTAGTTATGAAAAATCAAGTCCGAGATCTCTCTTAGATTAGAAACCTAAACTGTGCGGATTCTTTTATCTTAGTTGCTTTGCATGTCAGAACTCCTACTTGTTAACTGAAGATAATAGTATGCCTTGGCTTTGTAGCAATGCTATGAAAATAAATGTGTTAGTATTTTAGAAGCACTCAGCTTCTGTCAAAATAACCATCACAGAAAAAACACCAGTGAAATCTATAATTCTGTATTCAGAGCACCACTTGAAGAAAATAGAGTAGATAGGACATAATGTCAGACTGAGCAGGAGAAACAGCGGAAAACTTCTTATCAAAAAAGTATTTCTTATACCAGTGCAATGCATGAAACAGGGCTCTGAAACAAAACTTGTAAGTGACCACATACTCTAAATAATGTTGTAAAATAACACATGCACAAGTTAAAGTTTCACAGACCTGGTGTTCAGCTCCAGCTTCTGAGCATTTTGGCATTACTCCAGTATGCATGAATATTCATACAGATCGTAGGAGAACCATTTATGACTGTCCTCTTGCCAAATCTAATGCCTAAATCATGGGCAGCTTAAAGCCGAAACAGCTTTTTGACAAAGTTATAACCCTGACAAAGTTATAAGAACGTTAAAATGGGATCTCACAACAGAAAGAGAATGACAAATATAATAAATGGCAACGTTACTAGCTTTGTTTAATGTCACAATGCTATTATTACAAATGCTTATCCTCATGAGCCAGCAGGAAGTACTTCACACCACTCTCTGGGAAGAATCTTTCCTTCTTTCAGAAACTAATCTGACAATTCATTAGAGTGACCAGTGTATTTATGGTGAAAAAAAAAAAGGGTAGTAGAGAATTTTACTGCCCACAAATATAGAAAGCCTCAAAATGGAAATTCATTATTAAGACAGGAAACAGGAGACTGATATGATGACCTAATAGTTCAGTTAGATTTAGCTACCTGAAACAAGGAACTGCATCAATAGGTAAGGGCATACACACTGTCCTTTACTGAAATAAAGTATCTTTAAATTTTTCTGTTTTTATAGTGCTTTTTTTTTTTTAATATATCATGAGGTGAACATGAGCTAACTGATCCTACGGCTCTGTAGCAACCCAGCTGCAAACTATTCTCTATGCCAATCTTGCAGTTTTGACAAAGGTCAG